CTTTGAACTCAAAGTGGCCACGGTGAGTTCGAAAAGCAATCTTCTCAATATCATCAAGTTTTATTTGAATCTGCCAATACGATGATCTGAGATCAATTTTAGAAAAATATCAAGACCCAACCAATTCATCCAAAAGATCCTCTACCACCAGTATGGTAAATTTGTTTTTAACAGTCACTGAATTCAATTATCTATAATCAACACAAAGCCTCCATGAACCATATTTCTTTTTAACCAACAAGCAAGGAGAATCAAAGAGACTCTTGATTGTTTGTATAATGGAAGAGACTAATATCTCCTTGATCTGCCTCTCAACTTCTGCCTTTTGATGATGGGAAAATCTGTATGGACGTATGTTGACAGGTTGAATACCCTCTTTAAGGGTAATTACATGGTCTTGCATCTCTTAGGTGGCATGCCTTCAAGTTTAGCAAAAATATATGTATAATTTTATAAGATTGCTTGCAAGTTTGTTGGAATGGAAAACTGGTCCTCTTCTGTAATCATTAAATAGAATTCACCAACAAAAGTGACATTTTTAGCAACCATTTTCTGTAATCTATTTTCAGAGAGTAAATTAATGGTTGGCATCATTTTTTTCTCCTTGTAATAGAATGTTTTGGTCATCCTTTTGGAAGATCAATGTCAAATCATTAAAATCCATCAAAATAGGATTATACTTTTGCATCCAGTCAACTCTTAGAACCATGCCACTACCTCCCAATTGTAAGAATATAAAATCATGTTCAAAGAGGTGTCCCTGCATTTTCTATTGATGTTGTTTACTGGTGAGGTTGCTGTAAAGTTTCTCCCCATTTGCTATAGTGATGGAAATATGTCTAGTAAAAAGAACCTATACCCCTTCTTTAGCCCAACTAATAGTAACAAAACTATTTGTGCTATTACTATCAATAAAGATGTTTAAGGGTTTCCCTTTTACAGTTCCCCGAATTCGCAGAGTAGAAAAGCTAGCCTGTCTATTTAAAGCATTAATAAAAATTTCAAAATCCTTGTCTCCTGCAATTTGAGTTGCAGATTCTGATAATTATGTCTGCTGAACATTCTCCTCTTTGATATTTTCCAAAAATTCTCCTTCGTCCATACAATTCAATTGCTTCGGTTTACATTGGTGTCCCGGAGTAAACTTTTCTCCACAGTTAAAACAGAGGTTGTTAGCTCTTCGATAATCCAGAAGACTCTATTTAGTGTTGATAGGTGGAGCACTAGGCTTTGGAAGATTTTGGTGAAGGGAAATTCTTCATTATGGAATTTTGGTTTAAAATGTAGAAATTCCGAACAGGAGTTCTAAACCTTTTACTTTTGATTTCACCAGCAAGTTCATGAAGGTTAGCTTGTTTAAATGTGGCAGCCAAATATTTAGGTTCATGTGCTAGAACTCTATGCTTCAATTCATCCTTTAAGCTACTAATGAAGCTCGAAATAAAATATTTTTCCCCAAGGTGAGGATTTTGTTGTATGATGAAAGGCATTAGTTTATCAAAACGTTCCTGATACTCTTCAACAATACCTTTTTGAAATAATTTGTTGAATTCATCCACAACATCAATATATGTACTACTGCCAAACCTATTACAAAAATCAACCTCAAACTCGTGCCAGGTGACCTTATATTTGTGTATAAGATACCCATCAAACCATGTTTCAGCCATTCCAGTCAAATACATAGAGGCTATTTCAACTTGTTGAAGTTCAGGAATAGCAAAATTTATTAAATATTTTTGACATTTTTGCAGCCAACTCCTAGGATTTTAACCATCAAAGAACTTAAGTTCAATCTGTGGTCGAGAAAACGAAATATAAGCACCAAGATTAGCAGGAATAACACTAGAATGCTCCCTGAGTCATCTCCAGCATTAATCAGTCACAAAGGTTGAATAGTTGGCAGAGTAGGTTCATATGGCTTATCAACATGTTTAGATGTTAAAATACCCGGTTCTCCAGGATTAAAAGAGTATTTTTCATGCTCATTAATCACAATAACCTCAAAAGGTTTCTTACCTTCTGATTTTGGTGAAGATGGATCAGCTCATTTCTTGCTACTTATTGGAGTTACCTGATCACCTTCTTTTGCACTTTTGGCTATCATTTGAAGAATCCGCTGAAAATAACCTATATTCTCTATAGATTGAGCTTCCAAGGTAGTTAAACATTCTTCCCAGTTATCTCTTTGAGCTGTCCACCATCTCGGTACCTCCTCCGGTGCATCTTCAGGTATATTTTATGTTGCCTCGATCGGATTGGTTTCAACTATTTTGGTAGCTTTTTTAGGCATCCCAAAAAAAATTCTCGCTTTTGGATCAAATGACCTAGCTCTGGATACCAATTGTCACAAACCAGTGATGAAAACGATAGAAATTAAGGATTTTAGAAAAGAAGAAAGATTGAAGAAGAAGAATTTCATTCAAAATATCATCATAAGTTCTCAGTTACAATTCTGATATATATATGCACTAACAACTTCAAGTTATTTGTTTACAAGTGTCAATGCCTTTGTCTGGTAGCATAACTGTTTACTTCTTGGTTGGATTCCTTCCAACAACATTCTTCGTGGGCTCTATGGGTGGGCTGTCTTTTAGTCTAATGGATCCTTCAGCTGCTTCACCAATCTGGATCTCTCCTCTAAGCTGCTCCAATATAGTTTCCCCGTCAGGTAATTACTTATCTCCCATTTTATTTTCCTTCCAAATCCCTAACTTCTGATTTCTCAAATTCCCCAATTCAGTGAACCCTAATTTTGTTTCCCCTAACTTCTGATTTCTTAAATTCCCCAATTCAGTGAGCCATAATTTTGTTTCTTCCTCAAACTTCCTCTCCATTTTGCCTTCCGCCATGACAAAATATATCTTGATTCCATGATGATTACACAATAGAAATTGAAGATTAAGCTAGGACAAGATTAAAGCTATAATCTAAGTTCTTTCAATTTTAAGGAAAATCAAGTCAAGATTGAGCTAGGAAAGATTGAAGCTATAATCTAAGTTCTCAAAATAGTTTTGTTTGTGCCTCTTACACAACAAATTGATTTTTCAATATATATAATTGTATATTAAACAACATTTGTCTTGTTAAGAGTAATATTGTTCAGTTTGATTGTCACATATTCTTTTGTTAATTCAAATAATCACACTTAAGTTCCACTTTAGTAGTTATATTATTTATTCTCTCACCACATCTATTATATATGGACATTTGGGACCAATCACAATATAACATTAGTATATATAACATCGTTTTGTAGTTTTATGTCTGATTATCATAATTAGTTGTAGGCACAACAATTAACTATTTAATGTTGAACTCGTCAAATAGTACCAATGATTAACGAAAGTAATATTCTTTTAAAAATATTTAAGTTCAAGTAGTTACATTTACTATTGAAGATATATATAATTATGTGAATTTATAAAAGAAAAACAAGGTGTGGTATATATTATTGATATTGTATAAGTGGGAGAGGGGCAATGGGAAGACAATGGGGCGGGGGGGAATTACTTTAGCATATAGAGGGGGAAGGAGCGTCTTGGCGTTGATATTAAAAAACCAGAATGGTCCAGTCTTTTTGCACGTGAAGACGCTCCTCACCGCACTCACCGAGTTAGATCATTTAATTTCCCTACTTCCTCCAGCTATTATCATGCCTTCTAATCAATCAAAGCCTGCTCTTGGCCTTCCCCCAATGCTTTTTCTCTATGCCTATAATTCATCTGTTTATATAGCTTTGTATTGCATTCATGTAGGTTTTTATTCAAACACTCTAATTTCATTTTATATTAAAAATACTAGTGTTTTTAGATTATAACAATTCTTATTTAGTTTCAGTGTTTGATAAAAATTAACAAATATTATATACACTATAAAAGGTTACAATAACAATATTACGATAGACACAATAGAGCATAACAATAATTTTTCTATTATTATTATTATTATTATTATTATTATTATTATTATTATTATTGTTATTGTTTTTAATTCCATTTTCCATGTATTACATCATGAATAGAAAACTGGAACTTATACAGAAAAGAGCACACGCAGCTATAATAATTAAGAAAACATACATATAGATACAATGATAGCAGCAAAATAATTGATTAGTACAAATGAAGCTACAGAAACAGTGATGAAAAAACGAAAATTTTATGGAATACACAACTTAGAAAGATGAAGGCAGAGTAAATCCGGTTAAAATTGATTAAATCAATCGAATTAAATTTATTTTTTATAAGTTATTATTTAATACACCGATAGTATAAAATTAGTATTCTAAATCTTAAAATATAAAATTTTAGTTCTTAAACTTTAAATAAGACACATAATTTTAAAATAGATAAATTTGTATAAATTAAAACTATACGATTAATATGTCATTCATTTTTTAAATTAAAAAACAATTTAAATAAGATATTTGAAGAAAGAATCGTTTTTAACTTAAACTTTTGTGCAGTATTTGACAAAATCTAAATGACTATATATATACACATATATATATATATGAAATTAAATAGCAACATTAAATTATTAAAGTAAAAAATAACATTTATCGTATAAAAAATTAATTACATGACATCATTTTCATTTGTTGCCAATAGGCTTGGCTAATAATAATATGATTTTAGTAGCAGAATCCCGCTAGAGATGCAGAAATTTAATGGGGGAGAAGTGTATGAATGAAGTACAAAATTAGTTTCCTACACTGCAGTGTACAGTAATGTAACTGCCAAATAACGCCTCATTTTCTCTTATATTATTATATATCTCACCCGCTAATATTGGCGACACAAAAACCGCGAATCTCATCATCAACTACCCTTTTCCCGGTTCCCCTCCTCAGCCCCCAGTCCTCACAAGTCAAATCTCTTTTGCCCTTTTCTGTAGAATTTTCAAACGTGGATTCCACACAACATATAAACTGCTTGTCGTTGGAAACAAACCACCAAACCCATGTTTTGTTTTGTTTTGTTTTTTCTTTTGGTTGAGATTTGTGTGTGTTTTTCCTTTTCTTTTTATGTAACATAGATTTTGATTGAGACAAATGGGAGATTTTGGGAGTTACTTTTCTTGCTCTAGTCTCTTGTGTCATGAAACCGAAGAAGAAGCTTGTTGTTTCGAAACAGAAGCAGACGACGACGATGAAATTCTTTACTTGAATGATAAGGACGACGAGTATATTGAGAGTTTGATTCAAAGAGAAACTTCTACTACATCTTCTAGTGGTTATCCGATTACCGATCGAGACAACTGGCTGCGATGTGCTCGCTTAAATGCCATTGAATGGATCTTCAATGTCTGTAATCTGTATCTTCTTAATCTATTCTCTGTGTTTCGTTTTTCTTATTTGATTTGATGATAAGGGTTTTCTTTATACAGACAAAAACACTCTTTGGGTTTCAAATCCATACGGCATATCTGTCTGTAGTATACTTCGATCGATTTCTCTCAAAGAAATCAATTGATGTAAGCTTATTTTGTATTGTTCAAGCAATGGTTAAACGAAAGGTTTCTTCTTTGTGTTTGTAACAATGTAGTTTTTGTATTGATTAGGATGGGAAATTGTGGGCTATACGATTGTTGTCGGTGGCATGTTTATCAATAGCAACAAAAATGGAGGAGTGCAGAGTACCTGTTTTATCACAATTTCCCACACAAGATTACCAGTTCGAAAGTAAAACGATTCAAAGAATGGAGCTATTGGTACTCACTACTTTGGAATGGAAAATGAGTTGTGCAACGCCTTTCGCTTATTTATCTTTCTTCATCCATAAATTTTATGGTGAATCTAGACGAAAAGGATTAGTCTCAAAAGCTCTGCAGCATATTGTGGTTATAGTAAAAGGTAATCTAAAAGGCTAAAAATCTAGTTTTTGAATGCCATTATGAAACTTTTGTTTGTTTGCTTATGATTATGAACTGTTCTTTTTGATGCAGATATCAATTCAGTCGGGCATCGGTCATCGGTTATTGCTGCAGCGGCTGTGTTGGCCGCTTCTTGTGACGAAAGATTAACAAGAAAAACAATGGAGTTCAAGATGGATTTCATTTCATTCTGGGGATCTCTAGAAACTGTGAGCTATTACTTTGTATTATATTTTTCTCATATTTTGTATAACTTGGAACTCTATGGTGAATGTTGCATTGGATATTTTGATGCAGGAACATGTGTTTTCCTGCTATAACATGATGCAGGAAATAGAGACGGGAAAATCCAAGACACCAAAATCAGTTATTTCCTCAAATTATTCTTCACTATATCTTTCGACTGAGAACTCCTCTGCTGTCAGGATTGGGACTAAGAGAAAACTTACTTTCAAAGAGTGTGATCAATGAAACTCTGTCAGCCATCTTTTTTACTGATTGCATTATTTTTACTAAAGAAAGGGAAGGACATTCTGTTTCTTGGAATTGGATTTTAGGTATAGGTTTCATCAGTGTTTTGATGGGATTTCATTATGATTTTGTTGTTGGATGATTTAAAGGTTCCGTTTTCCAATAATAAAAGAATGTTTTTTAACCTCTGGCAAACAAGAAGATTAAAAAAAGGAAGAGGGAGTCTGGGAGAGAAGTAAATAAATAAAGAGGGGATAGCTTTGGCCTACGGTAAGAACTATGTAGCTGATTATATTGTTCGAACCTGGTGATTGCGAATAGAGCAAACTGTGTTAGAAGGATCATCATTGCCTCTTGCAGTAACTGATCTGGATTAGTCGATCAATATATCAGATATCACCAGTGATTAATTCAAAAAGAAAAAGAGAACTTCATTCTAAGATAATGCCAGAAGATCGCCACATTTTTTTAATTTGTTTCCTATTTTAAATTTTTTTATTGAGACAAAGTAAACTTACATTATTTGATGATGTTTTTTATTTTACTTTTTCCCTCTATTTTAATACTCACATGTTGGTCTTATATACTCTCTTATACATTGTACATCCTTCATTGATGTTTATGTTTATTTCATACATTTTAAGTTAGACTGAGACTGCATGTACTCATTTTTTCTCTCATTGAGTTGATATATTTTTTAAGTCAGAGTTTGAAACGATTATAATATGAAAATAGGATTATATTTTTAAATATTTTATCATTTAATTGGTTCTTTATGACGGAAAAAGACTCAGGCTCTTTGCACTAATGTCTATGACGATGAATGAAAAGGTTTAATGCCATTTGGACACAGAGAAAGAATTGATTAAGTTTGTAATTTGTGTTTATCCTTTTTAATTTGGGTAGATAACCAATGATCAACTATGTTATGGAAGTAGATGATGAAGTAGATTTTTTTTTCCTCTTTCATTGAATGTTATTTTATTATATATCTCGGGTATTTGATAGCTATGTGATTGTCTTGTAGTTGGATTGAATATAAAATTGTGAAGATTAGACTTAAATCATTACAAGTCTAAGATGTTTAATATAATATATAGATTCATTTGATCATATAAATTATTTGTCATTAAAATCCATTAGTGACTAAGATAAAATTCTTTGAGAGTAACGAAATGTGATAGAAGATGTAGACATCATTTTTTTCATTTTAAATTTAAAATTATTATTATTATTATAATTATTATTATATATTATTTATTAAATATTACAAAGCCCAATTACAAGATCCCGGAGCCCAAATCAGGTCCAACAGTGACCCAACTTGAACCAGGCCCGAGAAGCCCAAATCATTTGGGAGTTTCAGCTAGGGTTTCTAAACCCTAGCTCCCAACCGCCGTTTCCAGAAACCCCGCGCCGCAGCCGCCTCTCCAGCTGCCAGAAGCTTACAGATGCCTCAGCCTTTGATGCTAAGTGCTCCAATCGACGCTGCCGACACCTCCAATGCCAGGTGTTTCAACCATGGCGCCACCGCCTCCGACGAAGTCTCCAGAAGCCAGCTGCCTCCCCCATACGTCGCGGCTATGGGGTGAGTCACCACATAGTTTTGGTGACTCACCGAACTCCATTTCTTTGACCGGTCCGAGAGTCACACCGTCGATGGCTATAAAAGCCATCGACCACACCTGCAAAAAAAAAAAAAGAGGAAGAACCGGAGAAAAACTGAAACAAGAGCAAAAAAAAATATATATATATATATATACCAAACATCCCAGTCAACAACAATGAAGAAAAAAGAAAAAAAAGGCAGCGAACAGACGAAGAACAACAGAGAAACAGACGAGGAGATAGAAAGGGAGAGCAACCAACAAAGCAAGAACTACACCAACGATCCCAGAAAATACAAACCGAAAGAAGAGAAAAAGAGACTTACCGAGGAAATCGCCATCGTGAGAGCCTCCCAAGTCATCGGAGAACCGAAACGTCGAAGAGAAATATCCTAGATCTACGACGATTGGTAAGGTTTTAAGCTAAAACAACCTTAGATCCGGGTATAGAAAAATAGGGGCTTCGATTTGGGGTGGGTTTTGTAATTTCCGGCCACCGTTAACGGTGGCCGGCAGCGGTGGTCGGAGCCCGGCAGCGGTGGCTGACCGGGACGGCTTTCTCTAATTTTAGAGAGAAGCCAGAGAGAAATCTTCTCTCTCTCTGTTTGAGAGAAGAAGAGAAATGAAGAAATGAAAGGTTGGCCCGAAGGGCCAGCCGGTTTAGGGTTTATAAACCCTCCCCCATACGACGTCGTTTAAGGGGGAGGAGTGTGCGTGTAATTTCTATCAGGGGTAAACCCCGTCCGCAGTACTCGAAGTTTGTATATCTTGTAATTTAGTCACTAAAAGCAATTTTTGATTATTTTAATTTAGTCTTCTAATTTTATTTTATTTTAATTTAGTCCTTATCAGCATATATATATTTAGGAAAATATCAAATTTAGTCCCTCATAGTTTATTAATTATTATTTTAATCACGTATTAATTGATTAAGTTAAATTACACTATTAATCATTATCTTTCATAATATTTCGAATTATTATCTTTATTTTTAATACTTTATATTTAGTTTTATAATTTTGAATTTCTTTTATTTTGATCATTATTTAATTACAATATTATTTTGTTATTACTTTTATATTTTAATTATTGCTTTAATTATTATTTTATTATTATCTTAGTCACATAAATATATATATATATTTTAAAATAATAATGTTTATTTATTTTCGATATCAAAGAAAAGGGCAGTCTTAATATAACTGGATGTCCTATTCTGGTATTTTAAATAATTAAATATTATAAAAATTATAATTTAGTTTTATTTAAATTATTAAAATTTTAATATATTTTTATTTATTAATATCAAAAAAAGAGAGCTGTCTTAAGATACCTAGAAGCCCTTTTCTGATATTTTTGAATAAATAAATATCTTACTATATTAAAATAAATTTTTGTCTTAAAAAAATGTTTGTCATTTATTTATTTTTTAATATTGAAGAAAAGAGCTGTCTTAAGGCACCTAGAAGTCCTTTTCTGATATTTCTAATAAATATTTTATTTATAAATGTATATAAATTAATATATTTTTTTTCATAATTATAATTTTGAAATAATAAGATTATAAATTAAATATATTTTGAATTTTTAAATTTCTAATAATAGAGACAATTTATAATTAAAAAGCACCAATTTTGGGCGTTGTAGGGGTGCTAATCCTTCCCTAAACGTAACCGACCACGAATCCCTTTTTATTATAAAAAAGAAAGAATTTTTGGTTATAAACGCAGATCAGCTCATCTTTTAACTGATGTTTTCTTAAAAACTCTTTTAAAAGATAATTTTTAGGTATTCGACCTACCTGACCCAAAAGGCCGATGGCGACTCCCAAATTATTTATTATTCACATTATTTTTCCAGCCAAGCATAAAAAAAATTCGTGCCCGGACGAAAAACGATTACGACAGCTTGGTGACTCTGCTGGGGACCGGTCAAACTTTTAAATTGTCTCTATTAATTATAAATTAAAAATTCATATATTTAATTTATAATTCTTTCTTTTCAAATTATTTTATATACTTATTATTTTTATAGTTTTTATATATTTTCTTATTAATATTTCATTTTATTTGCAAGTATTTTATTTTATTATTTATTTTTCTGTTAGAGGTTTGAACATTTCTCCTCACACACAACACTTGCATTGCATAACATAAAGCTCTATAATTGAGTTTGTCCTTTTTAAGTGGGAGTGAAAGCGACGTCTTCGTGAGAATTTATTCTCCGTGTCAGACCTAGCAAGTAACTTTCGGGGTTCATATGCTCTATGTCTTCGTGAGAATTTATTCTCCGTGTCAGGTATAGAGAAATGTGTCCCCTCGAATTGAACTCGATCCGTTTAAGTCTGTAATGGACTAGGATTGAGGGTTGACAGCCCAAGGGGGCATCAACAAGGACAATTCGAGTACTTTTAATCCTAGAACTGAAACTCTGCATATAATAAACCCTAGAAATTCACAGTACTGAACCTCTGTTCATAGGTGTACACAAAGGAGAAATAAGCTCTAGCTTTTAATTTATTATTATTTTTTCTCCCTGAATAAATACATGCGAACTAGAAATCATACGGTTAGGTTAATTTTTCCAAACAAAGCATGAAACTAGAAAGCATGAGGTTAGGATTTATTATATACAATGATAAATAAATTTTTTTTTTCAATTAGTTGGTATTAACCATTTTATTTTTTCTTATTTTCCCATGTATATTATTTTTGCTCTAATTTGTTTAAATTATTTTCTTTTGTTTGCATTGCATGATCATGACCAAAAGGTGTTAACTGAAAAGACTGTTCATCAAATTAGAAAGAAATCATAAATGGACAAAAAGTTCTATGATCAAACAAAATATAATGCGGCCAAGAAAAGACATCCTGAGGGAACTCTGAAGATAGAGAAGAGCTATGCACCCAAAGATTGTATGCCCATTGAAGAGCAAAAGGAGATACGAGAAATAAGAGAGCAGATGTCCAAAATGATGGATAGAATATCTGTTTTGGCCAAAAGAGAAGAGATTCCTTCACAGAAAGAGAGAAAGCTTAATGAAGATAATCCTGCAATTTCATATATGCAAGGGACTTCGGATCTTAACCAATTGGAGAAATTACAGACAGTCATCATTCGTATTCACCAATCGTCTGGAGATACCAAAGAAATGGTGACAACTGTACAAGCTCCCAGAGAAGAGAAGAAATCATGTAATCTGAAATCATCGAAGTTTAGTATGCTCCCGATATTTAAAACTCAGGTTTAATTCAAGACAAAAGGAGGTTCTCATGTTGATGTTATACCTATATCATATAAAGATTTGTATGAAAAGTTACTTGAAGCACGAGAAATAGCTCCATATTACATAAAACCATTCCAACCTCCGTATCCAAATTGGTATGATATCAACGTTCATTGTGAATATCATGCCGGAGCTCAAGGACATACCATCGAGAATTGTCTTGCCTTCAAACGTCGAGTCCAAAGTCTTTTGGATTAGGGAATCTTGCAGTTTATGATAAATGATCAACCTAGTTTGGTAACTGAAGATCTTGCCAGATTAACACCAAATGTATTCAAAGGTAAGAGCATTAGTAAGGACGTCCAGAAGGAAAAAGATTT